TGTGAGAGTGTTTTACTTGCTGTGTGTTCTAGGCAGCAAGTGTGAGTTGGCTGAGTTAAGTTAGAAATTCAAAGAAAAGATGTTCATATTTCTGGTATAGTGCCATCACAGGGCACTAGATTCGTGTTCAGAATTTACCTTTGTGACAATTGGTATCAGAGCCCAGAGTTGGGTACATCATGGCCGGTGGTAATGCTACAGAAGCTCTCAGAGATCGTATGACTCGTTTAGAGGCCTTGGTGGGTGCTTCACAATCTGACGATGCTACTGCCTTGACGAAGCAGATGGAATTGTTTGCAGTTGAGTTGCAGACAATACGATCAATGCTTGAAGAGTTTGTGGGGGAGACAAACTTAAAGATGCAGATTATGACGGATGATGTGATGTCCATGACAGACTTCGTCCAAGATCATGTGAAGGATTTAGAGGGTGAAGTGGCTCTGTTGAAGAGGGCCATGCACAATCAGACTGTTGTAGGAGAGAAGCCATCATCTTCCAAAATCAAAATTCTAGAACCAAAGTCATTCTGGGGCAAGAGGAGTGCCAAAGATCTGGAGAATTTCTTGTGGGATATGGAGCAATATTTTCGAGCAACCCACATTCCAGATAATGACAAGGTAACTATTACCAGTATGTATTTGTCTGGTGATGCTAAATTGTGGTGGAGGACGAGTTATGCCCCAAAATTACTGTATTTGCAGAGCTGAGGAAAGAACTGAAGGAGTAGTTTCTTCCAGCAAATTCTGGCTGGGTGGTTCGGGAGTCGTTGAGGAGACTTAAGCATATGGGTACAGTGCGTGAAAATGTGAAAGAGTTCACATCTTTGATGTTGGATATCAAAGATATGTCCGAAGGGGATAAATTGTTTAATTTCATGGCAGGCTTGCAATCATGGGCACAAATCGAGTTAAGGAAGAGCGGAGTGATCGACCTCTCTTCTGCTATAGTTGCAGCAGACAGCCTGGTGGACTTGCAGATTGAAAAGCCTGACTCTACTATCGCCAGCAAACTGAAAAAGAAGGGTAAGTTCGGTGACAAGCCCAAGAGGTATGGTGTTGCTGAGGAAGATAAAGACAAAGGGAAATCAGAGGTGACGTTCATCCAGCAGAGGCCAAAGCTGGACAGTTGTTGCTTCATTTACAAGGGTCCAGACAGGGCGAGGGACTGTCCTAAGAAGGAGAAGGTGAATACTATGGTTGCTGAAGAAGCCAATGGAGGAGATTTAGACTCGAATGAGGGTAATGTTCAGGTCCATCCTCTTGTCATGCAGTCATGATAGGTTCAGGTGGGCGCGTGGCTTCGGGGGAAGGATATGCAAAGATGCTCACGGAGTTATTGCCAAGGTTGGTAATGGTGAATTTTCTCTTTATTTGTTTTTCTGATTTGGGTTGCTGGTTGTGATGACAGAATCCAAAGGTATTCAGAATTCATGTCATGAATCGATGCGGAGGTTGGGGTTTATGGAATTATTCAAGTGTAACAGCGGAGTTGTTGCAGTGTTAATTTTCAGCATTTGTGTTGGTTGGGACCAACATGCTAAGTTACAAGCAGAGATTTGTGACACTTTGTGATTGCTTCAACGAGGACATTGAAACTCTTAAGTGGTGGAGGTTTGTTACGGGATTGGGACCTTGACAGGCCCCCTGACAGCCATGGGATGCTGTCAGCGTACACTGGGGGTGCCCAGTGGCATTTTCGTAAATATAGCGAAAAAGTGATGCTTGGAGTTTTGGCTCGGGATCTTTATGGGAGGTACTTTGAGTCCATAGAAGATAGTTGGCGCAGACGGCACTCGATTTGGATGTCGTGCAATTTGAGACATTTATATGTGGGTGCAGATTAGTGGGCTTAGTACAGGCTAAGTTCACAAGGTTGGCTCGTATGTTACTTAAAGCATGGACCACACAAGTTATGGACGTGTGACATAGTCAAGTCAAGGACATAGGCACAGGGCAGTGGACGTAGGCAAGGCTTAGCGTGCAAGGTTGGCTCAGGGGACTCAGACATGGCTTATGGTTGCAGAAGATGGCTAAGTGGGCTCAGGTGGTTGGGGGAAGTTACACTTCCCACTAAGTGGGCTCAGTTGGTTGGGGGGAAGTTACTAACACTTCCCACTAAGTGGGCTCAGTTGGTTGGGGGAAGTTACTAACACTTCTCACTCGTGTGCATATATTATGGGGAGTGAGGGTGTGCTGAGTAACTTCCCATGCATGTAGCACAGATCTGAGGGGACAACACACAGGTGGTTAGAGTCGGTTTTTTTTTTTCCACTATGCTGATATATAGAAGGTGGCAGATAATGTGTAACTTCCTGTGGACAAGTGGCATGAGCAGAGCGTGCCAACAAGCTAGTAGTTGGCTTGTCAACTATATATGTAGTGTTGGCACACTTAGTGGGTGCCAACATGACCCTAGGTGGATGGGGGTGTCATCCACCACTTTAATGGGTAGTTGTGGGTGGATGGGGGTGTCATCTACCACTTTAGTGGGCGGTTTTGATAGTTTGCCTATATATTGCTAATGTGGGTTCTGTAGAGAGGCAGATTTAGAATGAGACACAGAGTTGTGTTATGAGAGACTCTTGTATGCTTCTGCAGGTTGAGGCATTTCCTTATACTGTTTTGTGAATAATAGTAAAAGGTTGGAAGCCTTGTGCTTCTGTAAATTCGTAGGTGTTATTGTCTTTACATTCTTACAACTATACTTGTGTGTGAGAGTGTTTTACTTGATGTGTGTTCTAGGCAACAAGTGTGAGTTGGCTGAGCTAAGTTAGAAATTTAAAGAAAAGTTGTTCATATTTCTGGCTTAGTGCCATCACAAGGCACTAGATTCGTGTTCAGAATTTACCCCTGTGACAAACAGCTATTACTTTTTAAAAGTACAATGGTACATGTGCATCTCCTTTTTTCTTTTTATTAAAAATATGTACTTTGAAGCAAGTTTTCCTTAATTGATATCAAAATATGTGTGTTTATTAAGAATCAATATTAATCTATTTTCATAATTTAATTATCTGATACTCAATATTATTGCATCTACATTTTAGGCTCTGAGAGACATCACTCTATTTGACAAACAACATTTAGACATATTGTAGCTAATTTTTCAGTACACTTCTCACATAATCTAAAAATAGAAATTAATGGCCAAGTTAGTTTTCTAACAATTTGTTTTGTCATTGACAAGAAATTCACAGACTTAAACTTTTATTATTCACTTTGAAAGGTAGAGAAAATATCATTGTCACAAAAACCTTTAGGGCTAGTTTGGTGTGTAATAATGAAATAGAATGGAATGAGAATGAAGTTAGGAATGGAATGAGAATGGAATGGAATGGGAATGACGATTCCCATTCTTTTGTTTGGTTGCAAACATGAAATATGTAAAAATAAAATGATGATTTCCATTTACTTGTTTGGTTGGACTAAAAATTGAAATGGAATGAACTTATATTGTTTTCTCCAAATTACCTTTATCATTAATTAAAAATTTTAACTAAAAAATTAGCATAAAAAATTTTCCAATCTAGTGGTAAGAAAGAGGTTTGTAAGAATGAAATTGAGGCAACAGATAGAAAGAGAAAGTAGAGAGAAGAAAGAAACTGAGCAAGTGAGGTGTTGGAGATTGGGGCAAAAAAAGGCAGTGGGGAGAAGGAAGCGATCGAACAAGGGTGAGGATGGATCCAATTTGATTGGCGGTGACGAACGGCGGTGATCCAAGCTCCATTACAAACTTCATCGGTGAAGCTTGCAATCTAGTCAAATGAAGTTGCAGTGTTCGGCGGTGAATCGGCGAGTTGTGGACGAAATAGGCGAGCAATAGTGAGACTGACGGCGATCAAGAAGGACAGCAGTGCTGAACGTACTGGCGAGGTGGGTCTGAATTGAGCTTTTGAATCGTCGGCAAGATGGCAGTGAACTGATGGTGAGCACATATAGTTATTAAGTTCCAAACTAAATATATTATTGTATGTCAATCATTCACAATAGGCAATATACACTTTTGGTTTAACGAATATAATCTCACTATGATAAGAGGACTTCTGGGCTGCAGTAGATGGGTTGGGTTGGGTTGTGTGTTCTTGTATGTTTCACTGTCGATATAGGAGATGATGATGCCGGCGGTGGGTTTGATAGAGGAGATGATGATGATGCCGGCGGTAGGTTTGTAAGTTGTTAGGTTTTATTTTTTAATATTTTTTTTAGTTTGTATTTTTTTAAAGTTGGAATGGAATGGTCATTCCTTTTGTAAGAAGGTTGAATGATTTTGATAGAATGACCATTTTTCAAGAATAGTGGAGAATGACGATTCCAAATTTAAAATTGGGCACCAAACACAAGAATGGAATAAAAACCATTCCATTCCACTTTCTTTATATTTCATTCCACCGCACCAAATTAGCCCTTGGTTAATTTCCTAACCATTCATAATAAATTATAATGGCTTATTTATATAGTTTATGCTAATACCACATTATTATGCATCGGAATTCCTATTACAATGTTTTGTTTGCAGAGCATATTTTTTTCACAAGATTTCCTGTTATTTGTACTTAAAATGGCCACATAGCCTTATTGGCCTCGCATATACACACAGTACATGGTAGTGGCAACTGAAAAGGAAAATCGAGGATAATTAAGCAAGAAAATGGTGGGTTGACCCACAACCCGACTAATTCGGTCAAGTTGCACAGAATCCTATGAATTTTTTATTTTTTATTCTAATCATTCAAGTTTTTATGATTTACTTAGTTTGTAATTATGAATAATTTTTTATTCTTAAGAGAAATTATAAAAACTTTGGTTCAATATTTAAGAAATTATTTTTAAAAAATTCTGTTATAAAAATATTTGTTATAATTTTCATGCTCTGAATTTTTAAAAATTATTTTCAAACTTACAATTCAAACAAGCCCTTATTTTGCCGCGATGGAGCGTTCGTCCACGGTGTAATTGGGCATGGAATTATTTCTGGGTAGATCATTATTTGTTTGGTGAAAAACTGTAAACTGAAATGAGACACCTGCCATTCAAATCCAATCCTCTCAAGAACCACAAAACCGGTCCCATCAAAAACCCAAAAAATGTGTGCCGGTACTCCACCAGTAATACCGTTGGCCAGTAATGAGAGCCGTACTGGTCATCGTTGGCTCCTCCATCGTCGTCCCTCCAAATTCAAACCCTAACCCTCAACACCACCGTTCACACAAACCCTCGCTTCCCACCACCACCTTTCTCTCTCCTCCCAAACCTTCTTCATCATCGTCGTCGGCCACTTCTCGCCCTCCTCTCCTCTCCACCGTTCGATGGGACCTCGATTCCCGCCGCCGAAGCCGGCTCAAGTACTACGCCGACCTCGCTTCCCGGCTCGCCGAGAACAAGAGGCTCGACGAGTTCTTGATGATTGCGGAGAGCGTCTTGGCTTCCGGCGTCGAGCCTTCCACATTCGTCAGCTTGTTGAGCGTCGACGCTGTATCGGCCGGGATTGCGAAATCCCTTGGACATGGGAAGATTTGGAGTGTAATTGAGGTCTTGACTAGTGTTCGGAATCTAGGGATTCGGCCAGTTCAGTTGTTTGATTATTTCGCAATGGAGGCGCTTGCGAACGAATGTCTTCGGATTGTGAGTTTCTTAGAAGTGCAAGAAGTTGTTGATTTGATGGAAACACTTGCAGGTGGCTATTGATCGTATCATTAACTGTTTAAAAGTCTGATATATGTTATAAATATTGTGTGGATGTTAAATTATAAAATATTTTAAACTTGTTGGGGGAAAAGTTAAAAGATTAGGACGATCAACCATCAAAATTGATGCTTTAATTGAAGGGAATAGTATTGGGTTAACATAATTGTACTTATAGAGCATTACATGGATGTCATTATTCTCCACTATGATGTAGTTAAATTTGGGGCATCATAGTGTAATTTCACACTCAAATAGGTGAAGTTGATTTATATCAACGTCAATACTTCTTTCTTTCCGCATTTTGAATGATTTTGATATGTTGTTACTATGTTATGTTATTGTTCAGATGATTATTATTATTATTATTTTTAGTCTGATATATAGTATATATACCGAAAATAATTTATGTATGTATTTATGCATATAAATTGTGTGTGTTTGTGTGGATGTCATACAAATAGTGAACTCATATAATGTTTTGAACTTGTTAGGGAAAAAACTAAAAGACTCAAATGTTCCACCATAAAAATTGATGCTTTAATTGAAGGGGATGGTATTGGGTTAGCATAACTGTACTTATATGGCATTACTTGGATGTCTTTTTTTACACTATAATGTAGTTAGATTTGGGGCCTCAGTGTGTAATTTCTAAGAAGTCAATTTATTGGATACCAATACTTCTTTCTTTCTACATTTTGAAACAATTTCGAATGTTGTTACTATGTTATCTTACATATGTATTTGGCATTGGATAACATATATGCTTTATGTGGTTCAGGATTTTGTTTCTCAATCAAAAAATTAGTGGAGCCATCTGATATCATTAAAATTTGTGTCAACAAACGTAAGCCGAATGAATCCATAAGGTATTATTTGTTTTTATTTTGCCATGAGTTGGTGATGTTACTGACCTTCCTTGCACGTGAGCAAATTATCATTGAATTATTTATACATGTGCAATACAAATCAAACTTTAGACATGTATAATGCACAAATTACCGTGTTATGGTTATTCTTGATTCAAATTCAGACACTAACCACTGCTTTAACTATCATGTGTTGTAGGTATGCATGTATTTTTCCTGATGCACATGTAATGTTTTGTAACATAATTCATGAATTTGGGAAGAAACGTGATTTGGTGTCTGCTTTGACCGTCTTCAAAGCATCCAAGCAGAAGTTGAGTTCTCCCAATATGTATGCCTACCGCACAGTTATAGATGTCTGTGGTCTTTGTGGTGACTACTTAAAATCTAGGTCCATTTATAAGGTACTTGCCTGGACTGCCTTGTGAAATTTTAGTCTAACTTGATCATAAGTTCAGAAATTCTAATGTCCAACATCACCGCATGTACTGCTGTGAAATCGCCAATAATCTGTATATTACTAACATTATTTTTCACTTCGTTGGAGTTCTAAATTTCTAATTATGGTGAACAGCATTGTTTAAAAAAATGATATAATAGTACAATTTTTGGACCTGTAGCATAAAATAGAAGCATAATTCTTGGAAGGACAGTCACGGTTTATCATTTTAAATGTAAAATGACTGCTAATTATTTAAACCATTAATACTTTAATAATACTTCGTTGATATTCTCTTTGAAATGAAACATCAAAATTATTATTTTCCAGATTGAACATTCCAAATTGAAAAACAAGCTTTTTAACATTTATTATAACTACTGTAATAGTAAATAAAGGCCATTCCTACTTTTATGATCCTCAAGATCTATGAACATCACATTAGACTTCAGTGAAGAAGTTAAGTAACCCAGTATTAGTGAGGAATTACATCTGATCGTGTGAGGCATACATCTCTTCTGTAAAGGCAATAGTAAAATTGGCAAATGGTCATGTAAAGGTTGTTTTGCCTTGAAAGCGAGGTGTATACCATATGTGATCAATTTTTTATTTTTTTTTCCTAGTTCGGTATATGTGATCTTTGTAAAAAACAAAAATAAAAATAAAAATAAATAAAAATTGAGCTGTTTGGTACCAATTTTGGGTACATTAGTTTCTCATTTGTTTACTTAGGGAGATTGAACGTATAGCTACATAATAGTTTGTGAATGTTTTTTTTTTTTTTAAAAAATATTTTCTTATTCTCTTGCATATAAATTTTTTATGTCCTCAAATGCAGATTGTGGATTATTTTAGGATTTTATGGATATATATTTTGGCATTACATTTGAATTTTGCTACAGGAATTACTCGCACAAAACATCACACCAAATATATATGTTTTCAACAGTCTCATGAATGTAAATTCCCATGATTTGGGCTACACATTGAATGTCTACAAGCATATGCAAGTATGTACTCTCTCTCTCTCTCTCCCCACATGTATCCATCTATCTTCCTTTCTCTGCACACACACATGCAAGCACTAAGAATGCACCACATACTGCTTCTTCTTCTTCTTCTTCTTTTATTTATTTTATTTTATTTTATTTTTTACAGTTTTCCCCCAGTACTTTATTTCCACCAATACTGAAGATTCATTTTCTTGGCTTTCCCACATGTACTGCAGTTTATTTTTTCTTATTAACCTTCAGTTTGACTATTCATAGATCTTTCTCGTAAATCTTTAGTTGTTTTTTTTTTTTTTGTCCTTTTATTCTTTTATTTTATTCTTTTTTTTCTTTTTTAGGGTAAAGGATCTTTAGGTGGTTTATACTTTCTCTTAATGAAGCTAATTAATGAAATGTTCCACATTCCTTTAGTTTGTAAATTGTTTGATAATGTCCTGGAACTTTTTATAACAGTGAAAATAGTTACTGTTTCTCTCTCTCCTTTGTTCCTCCCTTTTCTTTTTTTTTTTTCTACCTATAGTTGAACTCTGTGCTTCTTGCCTTCTTGGTTGTGTGTCAAGACACAGTGTTGCTATTTCTTCGCATTGATTTTTGAAGCAAAAACATGACTAACTGATGTATGAATGACTTTCTCCTGGCACACCAATTCAGAAGTATTGTGCTTGTTTAGTAAAATTGGTATGAAATACATAGTCTATGTTATCCTGCATTCTAATCTACAAGGATTTTATTATTATTATTATTATTATTATATATATATATATATATATATATATATTTATTTATTTATTTATTTATTGTTTATTAAAAAAACCTAATTCATTTCACACATCCAGGATCTAGGCGTTGCACCCGATATGGCTTCCTACAATATCCTCTTGAAGTCATGCTGTCTTGCGTCAAGAGTGGATTTAGCGCAAGACATTTATAGGGAGGTACAACATTTGGAATCAGCCGGGGCACTGAAATTGGATGTTTTCACATACAGCACAATTATTAAGGTACTTCATTATCTTATTGTATGAATGTTAATCTGTGCTCAATATCTTGAATTCTTAAAAATCGTGTTTTCCCTGGTATAAGTGGGGATCCTGTTAAGTAAAATAGTATCGTCTACTGTCTTCACTCCTATTCACTGCATCAAATTTTCAGGTTTTCGCAGATGCAAAGTTGTGGCAAATGGCACTAAAAATCAAAGAAGATATGCTATCGGCTGCTGTTACTCCAAATACGGTGACATGGTCATCATTGATCAGTTCATGTGCCAATGCAGGTCTTGTAGAGCAGGCAATGCAACTATTTGAAGAGATGCTTATGGTTGGATGTGAACCTAATACGCAGTGTTGCAACATACTTCTTCATGCCTGTGTTGAGGCTTGCCAGTTTGATAGGGCTTTTCGTCTTTTCCAGTGTTGGAAGGGAAGTGGATTGCAGAAGGCTTTTGTTAGAACTCACCATGGCAAGACAGATGCTCCTGAAAATTGTAATACTAGCATGTCAAATTGCGAAGTTGGTTCACATCATTCAAGATTTGTGATGAGAGTTCCCTTCAAACCCACAACTTCTACATATAACATTTTAATGAAGGCCTGTGGTACTGATTACTTTCGTGTGAAATCTCTAATGGAAGAGATGAAGACTGTTGGTCTTTCCCCAAATCATATAAGCTGGTCAATTTTGATTGACGCTTGTGGAGGCTCAGGAAATGTAGGGGGTGCCATGAGGGTAAGATATAATCTATTGATATTTTCTATGAGAAACTGGGATTTTACCTTGAGAATAATGTGCTCATGATCTTGAAGTATGCTTGAAGGAGGATAATGAAGTCGTCAGTTTTTCACTCATTCATCAGTAAATTCTCTAATAACATTTTTTTTCTTTCAGTGCAGGTTTTGAAATCTATGCGTGAAGATGGTGTGCGTCCTGATGTTGTTGCGTATACAACAGCTATTAAGGTTCAAAGCTTTCTTCTTAAGCCATGTTTGATTGTTTTATAATGGTTGTTCTAAACATATACACTCAGTAAGGACCATGCATTAATACGCTCAATAAGGTGATCCATGCTTTATCTTAAACCAATTCAACCACATATGCTGATGCATCTCGGTTTACAGATTTGTGTAAAAAGTAGAAATTTGAAGATCGCATTTTCGTTGTATGAAGAAATGAAAAGATATGAAATACAACCAAATCTGGTAAGGGTTTTTGAATTTGATGATATGTATTTTACTATTTTCCAGGCAGTTTTCCTTTTGTTAACTCAAGTTGTATAAATCTTTGAAACATCTTTTTTAGGTGACATATAATACACTTTTAAGAGCTCGTAGCAGATATGGTTCCCTGCAGGAAGTACAACAATGCCTGGCTGTATATCAGGATATGCGGAAAGCAGGGTATGTTAAGTTGCACTAAATTCCTGCATGCTCATCTACCCTCTACTTGATAATTAAACATATATTTTTACATGCCCAACATTTTTGCTCTCCTAGATGATCTAGTTGTCATAAAGTTCTGTTCTTAATTTATTTGGTATGTATGGTGCCCTGCTTAATTTTAAGTCCACTACTCCCATAAAGCTTGCAATTTTGGTTTATTCCTTGCAAGACTGTGTTGGGCATTGCTATGTTTTAGGTAGGTACTATATTTTTAGCGCAAAATAACTCTGCATAAATCATAGTGGCTTTCTCTGGTGTTCCCTTTCAATGATTATAAGTATTCCATTCCGGTGTTTCACTTTATGAGATATCATTTTCATGTGTTTGTTTCCCATTTATTGAAGCACTAATATTGCAGGTACAAATCCAATGATTACTATCTCAAACAACTAATAGAAGAGTGGTGTGAAGGAGTAATTCAAGATAACAATCAGAACAGATGCCACTCCAGTTCTTACAACAGAACTGACTTAGGAGGACCTCAGAGTCTGCTTCTTGAGAAAGTTGCAGCACAGCTACAAAAGGGTAATGCTGAAAGCCTAGCTATTGATCTTCAGGGGCTGACAAAGGTACAATGGATATGAGTGAATAGAACACGATCACATTAGGTAAATCTTTTTTTTTTAAAAAAATAAAATAAAATAAAAATAAAAATAATGAATTACACATCAAAACTGTGTTATCATGGTTCTAGCTCTAGTTTGAGCCCCGGGCACTGGTGTGCTTTTATTACTTCAACACAGCATCTCTTTTATTTATAGTTCATGGGACTATTTATAGATGCCAGATGCACTTCTCTGGATGATACAACACAGGAATCTTGCTTTAAATTATCCTGAAACAATTCAATATTTTTTTGTATTGAAGGGTGGAATTTTCTAACCGTCATCTCTTTATTCCTGCTTTTTAACATCAAATCTTCTTTACAGGTTGAAGCTCGTATTGTTGTTCTCGCAGTTCTGCGGATGATCAAAGAGAACTACCCCCTAGGTGCGAATTACAATTAAGCTTAAAAGTATTGCAACAAAAAACAAACTCAGAGAAACTTTCAACTTAAAATTCCTTGTTTCACCAGCCCAATATAGGCACATAATTACAAAATAGAACTTGGTAAGAAAAATAATATTGTCACTTAATGGGCATGCATGCACACCCCCCAAATCTCTCTCTCTCTCTCTCTCTCTCTCTCTCTCTCTCTCTCTCTCTCTCTCTCTCTCTCTCTCACGCGCACACACACACAGAGTGGTTCAGCATTTTGATGTTTGAATGTTTTATGGTTGCAGGAGATTCGATTAATGATGACATGTCCATCATCTTAGGAACCCAGGAAGCAGTTGCAGGTACTGGAAAACATGAATCCGGGGTAGAAGATGCTATAATCAAACTTTTGCAGGATGATTTGGGGCTCGAAGTCCTTCTATCGAGGCCTAGAATTGCAGTTAACAGAAAAATCAATTTGGGAAACCCTTTTGATTCAGATCCAAACTTGAAAGAAATTCTAGGGAGAAATGGGTTGCCCAGAGAATTGAAATCTTCAACCAGGAGACCTGTGATTTTAAAGAGATTAAGGGTCACAAGGAAATCGTTGTATAATTGGTTAAAGAGAAGGACAGGTACTTTTAGAAGTAAAACAAGATGAATGTTTCATGAGTAACAGGTCAAAATTTTGATATGATTTCTAATGGGCTTCATATTTCCAATAATATTGTTACCAGAGCAGAATAAAGTGCCCTGTAATATGAACTCATGCCATGTATCTGACTGTGATATCAATGTACACTCCCAAATTTATGCAAGATTATAGAATAGAGATAGTTACTACATGCGGTCATCTTCCTTCTTGTTCTCTCAATCTTTGTTGTTGCCAGGTGTTTACCCAAATGACTGTAACCCACATTCTGCTCATTTAGATTTACAGGAAAGAAGGTCACATGATTGCTGGTAAATTAGCTGCTTCTGAATGCAGCAAATTAGCAACTTCCAAATGTAATATGCTGGATTCATTGCTTGAATAATTGAATGGAGCATAACTATTTGGTGACAAATTAAATGACAAACAGGGGATTGAAGCTTTAGATCGGATGGACATTTCAGTTTTGTTTTGCAATCCAATGTAAAAATTAAGCATCACAAGATGTAACAATTATCATAATCTTGCATCACGGACACAACTAAGGATGCTATGTGAAATTATATTCAAATATCATTCACAACACTGAAGTTCAAATATTTGCTGCTGTAATTAAATGAAATCTTTCACCAAAGAGAACATAAATAGTGACAGAAGACCATACAAGAAAAGTTATAGCAGTACTGAATTACATCCTGCTCAAAGGTGAACAAGAAATACAAGAGGTACCATTACAAAGTCCCCAACAATCAGAGCCAATCCTTCTGCTGCAGCTTCAGCGGCAGGTAAACCTCCGACAAGTACTGAAACCCGAACGAGCTCAGTGCCTGAATTTCAGCCTTCTGCTTCGTCTTCACCATCAGACTCAACTCCTCAACCCACCCCGGATTCTTCTTAACGAAATCCTCCTCCAACATATCCTTTCCGGTCTTAATATCCTGCTCCGTCATCGGCAACCTACATTGCTCCGGTATCTTATACTTGTCCAAATCGCTGGGCCTAACCCCCAACCACTTGATATCCGGTGTAGTCAGATTTGAACTATCATAAGACATGTTCTTTGACCCACAACCATAAACAGACAATATCTTCAACCCATATGGATCACTATCCACCAGAGCCAAAACTGGCAACTTCAACTCCATCTTCATCTTCCTCAGAAACAACCGCGTTGCGACATCCGGTTGCCCTTTTGCTGTCACAATTATACAGGGGAATCGATTATAGAACCTATCCTCTGCTAACCTCATATAAGCAGCATCCTTTTCAACAAGTAATATGAACAATGCATCACTCTGCATATCACCAACACGGTCAATATTGGGTGGAATCGCCTTCCCACCCATACCCATTTTGGTACAGTCAATCATATCGCCATTGTCACTGAATATAAGCCTGCCCACCACAACCCCCTTCTCGGCGGCGACCACATTGAGACTCGACCGGGTGCACCCGAGAATGCAGGAGACGTCGTCGAGGACGGCGTCGGATTGGGTCTGGTCCTGGAAGAGCTTGACATCGGTGTAGAAGAGATCACGCTTGGTGACGTGGATGTTCTTGAGGCAGAGCTGGTGGATGAGCTGGAGGATGCGGGTGGTGATGGTGGTTTTGCGGACGGTGGCGACGTTGGCGTAGGGGCGGAGGGAGGTCTTGTCCTTGAGGACGATGCGGTCGAGCTCGGGGACGTATAGCTGGTTGGCGGAGGAGCGAGAGGGGACCGAGAAGGAGAAGCCGTCGCCGGAGAGGATGGAGTGGGCGAGGGAGAGGGCAAGGGTTTCGATGGAGGACTGGACGGAGGAGAGAGAGAGGTCGGCGACCTCGCGGCAGGTGGAGGAGAGAGAGAGGTCGCCTAGGGTTAGGGCTTTGGAGGAGGATGTGGAGGGGGATTCATCGGCTAGGGCTTTGAGGATGGAGAGAATGACGGAATCGGGTTTGAGGCGGTTCTTGAAGGGGAGGGTTTTGGAGCCGTCGAGCTCGTAATCGGAGCTGTCGTCTGCACGGCGGCGCTTCTTCTTGTCTGCCATTGTAGAGAGAGAGAGAGAGTGAAAGGCGGGAAATGGATTGATTGATGAGAGAGAGAGAGAGAGAGCCACTCCTGATTAGGGCTTATACAGACAGACGGTCATGGTTCTGATAGTGGGACTTTGTACGACGTCGTAGTGGGACGCCAAGGCTATGGCAAACAAAAACACTTTTAAAATATTCACACTCTACTTTGTTTTTCTTTTACTTTTTTTATTTAAAAAATAAAAAAAAAAATTAAATGACAGCATTCTGTATCAAAATTCAAAAACACCTTCTGTCATGTGGGCGGAGGATGAGGTTCATCCTCCGCGCTGACGTGGCCCAATGAAACAATGACAAGTGTTCAAATAAAAATACTAATACAACATGGGCAATGCCCATTTTATCCGGATTAAACCCGTTTCTTACTATTTTCTCTCTCTTTCCTAAATTTCAGAACAGACCAAACCGAAGGTAAACTCTCCGACCTCGACACCCAATCTGCTATCATGTCAGAGCTCGAGTCCTCCTCGCCGCTAGCCGATGATGCGTCTACCTCTCATCAATTCCTCTGTCGCAACCCATACATCTATTTGTCTTTTTCTCCCACAACCCATCCATTTTCATTCACGCGATCTTACATTGGATTTGGTAGTGGTGGAATTGAATCATTAGTGACTGCTATTAGTGACTGCAACTGCAGGCTCTTCAGGTGAGGTTGAGACATAATTTTCCATGTCTACCTCCATGGCGCCTGCACATCAAATACTCAAAATCTCAAACAATTATTAAAGTTTATACAGGTGAAGCGCGACTATTTATCTACTGCTATTCTTGTGCAAATGGAATTTCTCATAAATGATGCTTAACAAAAAAATAAAAACTCAACCCATAAAAATTACACATTAACTGTTTTTGGATCATCAAATCACCCGCTTGCAATTGAGGCAATGACCTCCATCGTTATTGAAACCGCCACCGCCGCAAACAATCACAACCTCCCTCTCCGTCACCGTCTCGCTCTCGATCCTAGTCTCGATGGTCAAACCCTAATCCTTACGATCTCCAATCCAACTGGTGTTCAATTGATGTGCCGACTTTGACGAGACGGGCACACGCGGCGTTCTCTCTCGCCGTTGATGTGCCGACCTTGAGAGCTTTGACCAGTGGTTTGATCGCTCCCGATGAAGCTATCAATTCCTTGTTCTCGTCCCAAAGAGATAGGTTTAGAATTGCGATGACGCCGTACTCTTGAAGCTGAGGATCGGACGACGAAATCGGCGAAATCAACGGCTTGATCGCGTCGGTGCGAGTGATCTTGATTCGGTTCTCGGACTTGTTCTTGGCGAGGAGCTGATCTCCGTCGCCGCTTGCTTTTGATCGTCGATTGAGCTCGCCTCGAGGCCGGAGATGGTTGAAACGGGTTTAACCCGGATAAAATAGGCATTGCCCGTGTTTTATTTATTTTGGACACCTGTCATCGTGTCATTGGGCCACATCAGCGCGGAGAATGAACCTCATCCTCCGCCCGCAGGATGCAAGCATTGCTCTTTTAAAAAATAGGGCGATTTGCACTCACACTTCATCAGGTTTGCAATAAAAACAGGTAAACATAATTTAGGGAGAGTGTGATCTAATTGCCCCCTCAAGTTTGTAAACTTGAACAACAATACCCCCAATCATGATAAGAGTACTTAATTGCTCCTTGACTTTTGAATACACCCATTTAAATCATGAAAATACAATATTAACCTTTTACAAGTCCTTTGATTTGACCAAAATAACCCTCGGGAAAAAAAAAAACTCCATAATGGCACTCACAATTTTTTTTGCAAGTTGGCCCCCTCAAATTTTTTGTAACACTGTACTTATGGTACTAAATCATAGATAATAATTGTTGTTTTCTATATAAAAATTAAAATTGATCTCTCTCATTTTTTATTATTTTTTTTAAATCTATATTGTTCCTTGATATTAAATATAGTTTAATAGTAAATTACTTTTAACCCCTTCAAATTCCAATAAACCTCCTGCTATAAAAGATCAAATTTAGTAAAAAAAAAAATTATTAATTATTATGGTAGAAAAATTTAGTAATCATTCCTCCTAGTTGGAACTCACACACACATGTCTCTTTTGAGATTTGAACCTATGACCTTTTTTTGGGAGGTAAGAGGCTGATATCGCTAGACCATTGATCCATTGGTATTATTATGGTAATCCTTAAAACAACATACTATATTTACGCACACATATATTCACACACATACATAAATATTGCTCCGTATTTGTTATGAATTAGATAGGAAAAAAAAATTATTCATTTGACAACAACAATGATTCAACGACAACTTTTCTTATTAATTTGATTACATATTATTTATAGACATATTTTAACAATATACATTAAACTTGCACAAAAAAATTTCTTGCAATGATTTTATGTTATTTTAAAATTTTAATTTTACATTTCTAGTCTGGCCCCACCAATTAAAAATTTCTGAGTCCGCCCCCGTCGGTTTGCATATGGCATTGGCGGCCACAGTGATGGAGTTTGATTTTTATTTTTTTGCTAAGGTCATTTTGGTTAAATAATAGGACCTATAAAGGTTAATATTGTATTTTAATAATTTAAATGGGTCAATTTAAAAGTTAAAACTTAAAAGACAATTAGGTATTCTTATCATGGTTGGGATATTGTTGTTCAAGTTTGCAAACTTGATGGGGGCAATTATAACACATTTTTCCTAAGTTGTATCTACGTGTCCTTATTACAAACCTGAAAGGGTGTAAGTATAAATTACCCTAAAATATGATTCCGCACTTTTAAAAAGTAGTAATTTTTTTTTTCCTACTAAAACAATCTAGTCAATAAAATGAGTATAAAATTTAAATATAAATATCACATGTTTTTATAAAATTCAAATAACAATTGACTGTAAAAAACACCATGAAAGCATTTTCTTAAACAAAATTTAAAAGATAAATATGACGTGAGTAATTTTATGCCGCGCAAATAAGGTAAGTGGAATCGTAATTTTACAGTTTGGTGAAAAATTTCTAATAAAAAACTTTCACAAAAAATATAATTATTATGATATATTAAGAGATTGTCCTTTTGACAAGAGTAACATATTCTTCTTCTTTAACTAGCCAGTTAAAAAATACTTCAAATTTTTGAGTACAAAGATACACGTCGATTCTTTTAAATTAATACTAGAAGACTAGAAATGAGAGAGAAATTTTGATAGTGCCTTAGTTATAAATAAAAAATAAAATGATTTAATTTTTCTTGATGTTTTAATATATATATATATATATATATATATATATATATAAAATTTTAAAACATGTAAAATAGGATTTTATGTTTTTTAAAAAACAATAACAAATGAGTAATTAGTAATTACTAAAACATGTAAAATAGTAATAATTTACTTCTAAATTCTCCTGGGAAATATTATTTAAAAGATAGTCTCATCTTCTTATCTTAAGTCACATCATTTATTTAAACAGTGTCATTCTCACTCCATGCACTTTGGCTTCAACCTCCACTCACACTCTATGTAATATAGATTTTGTAGATTTTACGCTTCCATTTTCGCTCTCGCATTTCACACACTCATTTTATTAGGGATGACAAAGGGGCGGTTTGGGGTGTGGAACATCATTCCCATCTCGATCCTGTCCAAAAAAGTTTATTAAACATGGTGCGGGAACTGATTTTGTAGAGTATTTTCACTATCGTATTACCAATTTAACGAAAATAAATAATGAAACGAATTTCAACTATGATAATAATTATTTTTCTATTAGGTAGATAAAGACAATATTTAACTTCTTAATTGGAACTTTAGACTTAACATTATTGTAATTAAGAATTTAAAAAATAATACATAGAAGTTCTTAAAAGAAAATGATATAAACTGATATTTAGTGATTGGAATAGAATAAATAAAGATTTGAATAAAGTACAGGAACAAAATTTTAATCTATTATTATAAACGGACGCGAAATGGTATTTCTCCATTCCTGTCTCGAAATCATGCAAATTATAGATATTTGATATTTTCTCATCTATATCCTATAGACTATATGTGACTTAAATTTTGCTTATTTTTGTGCTGCACAATTGCACTCTTTTCACGGACTTCGTGTGTGTAACGGGTGGGCATTTGCGCATTTACCTAAAAGCTTAAGCTGACGCCCTCGTTGCGGTCAGACCACCCTGCCTACTCAGGGTGAAAACTGGAATGCCCACCCAAAAGCTTAAACTGTAATCTTTTTCCAATAAATTTCCCTTATCTAATTTTTTTACCAAAGAACCCCTCTCAACTATATGAAGGGGGTAAAAGAGTTAATATTTGGGCCAAAATGTCATTTTATTTAAATTTTAATTCTCTTGAATTTCAAAAATTCATATTTCACAAATCGTACATCCAAATGTTGTAAATAATATATGCACAGAAAGCTTATGAAACAAGAATTCAAAAAATATAAGATTTGTTTAACAAAACTTCATAACCAAAGAGAAATAAGCAATCTAAAAATCTACTCCAACAATATTAATTTATTTTTAAGAAATAAAATACTCGAGATATTTGCAAGAAAATTTTCAGAATTATTCATTTACATATGGAACCGAATATGTAAAAAATTTAGCCCCAACAGAGATCGATTTAATGAAATATCATATATTGCGTTAAAGTATTTTCATTATTTTATAGACTCGTCATTTAAAAATGAACATTCGGTTTCTTTTGGGAGTAATTTTTTTATATGTTAGGCTCTATATGAAAATGAATAATTCTGAAAATTTTCTTGCAAATAACTAGAGTATTTTATTTTTTAAAAATAAAATAAGATTGTTGTAGTATAATTTTAGATTGCCTATTTATCTCTTTAAAAATAAAATAAGATTTTTGTAGTAAATTTTTAGATTGCCTATTTCTCTCGGGTTATGAAGTTTTGTAAACAAATATTATCGTTCATACATTATTTGCAATATTTGAATGTACGATTTGTGAGATATGAATTTTTAAAGTTTGATAAAATTAAGATTAAAATTAAAGAATATTTTGGTCTAAATATCAACTTTTTTTATCCCATTAGATAGTTGAAGAAGGTTCTTTGGTAAAAAAATTAGATAAGAAATTTATTGAAAAGAGTTACAAGTCGAGGGGGTTTTTTGATAAAAAAAATTAAACGAAAGGAGTTTACTTAAAAAAAAATTACAAATCGAGGGGAGTTTTTTTGTATTTTGCTCTAAAATATACTAACAATTATAAATGCATTCCTTACACCCCGAATTTGTCCCGACCAAGATTAAATGTGACCCGCCCCATTTGATTATTATTCGGATCCGAATATCCGTTGCAAAATGCTTATAGAAAGTGTGTAAACCTCACACCCTTCATTTCTTCTCTCTCCGCCGAGCGAATCTGTGCTTCAATGGCGGCCATAAAACGCTTACTGAAAACATCAGCATTCTCTTCCTCCTCCGCCATCCCTTGCATCAGGAGATGTTTGTCCACAGCTGCGGTGTCTGAAACCGATGCTCGCCTGAAATCTCCATCGTACCCTCACAATTCTCTCCCTCCGCAGGCAGATCCCAAGGGAAAGAACGTCCAATGGGTATTTCTGGGATCTCCAGGCGTCGGAAAGGGCACATACGCCAGCCGCCTCTGTACCCTCCTCGGCGTCCCTCACATCGCCACCGGCGATCTCGTCCGTGACGCTCTCTCTTCCAATGGACCCCTCTCTCAACAGGTCTGTCTATACATATATATACATAATATGAGTATCTACATGTCTATGTATTATGTTCTTTTGTTATGTGGTTTAGATAGTGTTGAACTGGATTCGTTGAATCTGTTGTTGCTGAAATCAGGGAGACTACGATGTTGTTCAATAAAATTAAGTGCTGAAAAATGTAAGAGCTGAAGTTTTAAGTGATAATTGCAAATTAAGATTTTTTTAGATATTTTATTGAATGTTAGTGTTAAAGTATTGACAAGTGATGTGACTCACTTAAAATTTTACTCTATTTTGAGTGACTTATTTTTGTTCAGAAATAAGTGCTGAATTGGGTTATCAAACAACACCTATTACAGCTAGGGAAAAAAAAAAAAACCTAACTATTACTTTTGTGGATTAGTTTTTGGACATAAGTTCAGGGTTTAATTTTTGATAAAATTTCTTTCTGGATTAATGTGGATTAAGTTGAATTTTCCTAGATTTGGGAGGTTTTAGGTTTGTTCAAAATCAAAAGAGAAAGAGAGAGATCAAAAGCGTATTCTCTGTGTCTATAAAAACAACTTACAAAACCTAATAAGCCTACGTAGGCTTATATATGTTACAAGGTTTACATAATAACACAAACAGCCTATTAACTAAACATAATTACATAACGACCCATTATTATATATATATAACTTCTAACACTCCCCCCAAGCTGGAGAATATATATCAAATAATCACAGCTTGGAACAGATAGTTCTTAATCGATTATGACCCAATGCTTTGGTAAACATATCAGCTAATTGATCTTCAGACTTCACGAATGGAGTAGAGATACTCCCACGTAATATTTTTTCTCGAATAAAGTGACAATCAACTTCAATATGTTTGGTCCTCTCATGAAACACAGGATTTGATGCAATGTGAACTGCTGCTTGATTATCATAGAACAATGGAGTAGGAGCTTCAACTGTCAACCCAAGTTCTTTTAGAAAATGTTGTATCCATGTCAACTCACTAGTGGTATGGGCCATTGCCCTATACTCAGCTTCAGCACTAGATTGAGCTATCACCGTTTGCTTTTTATTTCGCCATGTAACTAGATTTCCTCCTACAAATGTGCAGTAGCCGGTAGTAGATCTCCTATCTGAAGGAGAATCGGCCCAGTCGGCATCTGTAAAACCTTCCACCCTGAGATGACCATTTGGTTTATGTAGTAACCCAAAACCTGGAGCTTGCTTGAGATATCGGAGAATCCGAAGAACAGCAATCCAGTGTGGCATTCTAGGGGCTCCTATGAACTGACTTACAACACTAACAGCCGGATATTCTAGGGGCTCCCACGAACAACATATGAAATATCAGGTCGAGTGATAGTGAGATAAATTAATTTCCCAACAAGGCGACGAAATCTGCCCGGTTCACTAAATAGATCACCCACATCAGTTACAAGTTTTGTATTTGAATCCATAGGAGTATCAACCGAACGACCACCTAACATACCTGTTTCTTCTAATAAGTTCAACACATACTTTCGTTAGGATAAACTTATACCTGTCTTGGATCTAGCTACTTCAATACCCAAGAAATACCTAAGTTTCACACACATCAGTTACAAGTTTTGTATTTGAATCCATAGGAGTATCAACCGAACGACCACCTAACATACCTGTTTCTTCTAATAAGTCCAACACATACTTTCGTTAGGATAAACTTATACCTGTCTTGGATCTAGCTACTTCAATACCCAAGAAATACCTAAGTTTACCCAAGTCTTTAGTGTGGAATCGATATTGTAGAAACAACTTCAACTTAGCAATGCCTTCAGAATCATCACCTGTGATCACAATATCATCAACATACACCACAAGAATTATGAAACCAGCTTTAGTGCGCTGGTGCAATACCGAATGGTCCGTCTGACACCTCTGAAGACCAAACTTTAATGCCGCCTCAGAGAATTTTCCAAACCAAGCCCGTGGAGATTGTTTCAAGCCATATAGAGCCTTTTTAAGGCGACAAACAGTGTGAAGATACTCCCCCTAAGCAACAAACCCAGGCGGTTGCTCTATATAAACCTTTTCTGCTAAATCACCGTGCAAAAAGGCATTTTTAACGTCTAACTGAAACAGAGGCCAATGTCTATTAGCAGCAAGAGAAATCAAAACACGAATAGAGGAAATCTTAGCAACAGGTGCAAACGTCTCATCATAGTCAATACCATAAGTTTGGGTATAACCTTTGGCAACAAGACATGCTTTTAAACGCTCAACGGACCCATCCGAAAGATACTTCACAGTATATACCCAGCGATAACCAACAGGTTTGACACCTGGAGGTAATGGAACAAGAGTCCACGTGCCATTCGTATGCAAAACATTCATTTGATCCTGCATTGCTTTCCTCTAACTCGAATCAGACAAAGCATCCTGCACAGTCTTAGGAACAATGTAGTAGACAACTGAGAGGAAAAACATGAGAATGATGGTGATAAGGAATTATAAGAAACATAATGAGCAATGGGATGTTTAGTAGCACACGAGCGAGGAGCTTTACGAAGTGCAATCGGCAAGGAATCAGACACAGTGGAATTTATCGGATCCAAAGACTGAAGATGATGGAGGAGGCACGACAACAAATGGCTTTGGTCTTCGAGTGTACACCTGTAGCGGGGCAGATGAAGGAACCAGAGATTGAGATTGAAGAGAAGGTGAGGGAAGAGGAACTGCAGAAGGAGGCGACTCAAGATTGATATCAAGAAGTGAATCAGTATTTGAAAAATACGGGATGGACTCAGAAAATGTGACATCCGCGCTAATAAAGTATCGTTGAGAAACAGGACTATAGTAGCGATAACCTTTATGAGAGCGAGAGTAACCAAGAAATACACACTTTGTGGCACGTGGGTCTAGTTTATCAAAACCAGGACCAAGATTGTGGACATAACATACACATCTAAAAACCCTAGGAGGAAGAGAAAACAAGGGAGAATCAGGAAATAAAAATAGAATGTGGAGATTTGCCATTTAATACGGATGACGGCATACGGTTAATAAGATGACAGGCTGTAAGAACAACATCACCCCAAAACCGTTTAGGCATACGCATATGAAACAAAAGAGCACGAGTTACTTCTAAGAGATGTCGATTCTTATATTCTGCAACTCCATTTTGTTGTGGAGTATAAACACATGAATTTTGATGAATAATTCCTTTATCACTAAGATATGTATCAAAGGGTGTTGAAGAATATTCCTTAGCATTATCAGAACGTAGAATACGAATTGGACATCCAAACTGAGTTTTGATTTCTTTGCGAAATTTTTGAAAAATTAAAAATAACTCAGAACGATCTTTCATTAAAAACAACCAAGTAAGGCGAGAATAATCATCCACAAATGTCACAAAATAATGAAATTTATTGATTGAAAAATGTTTTATTGGACCCCATACATCTGAATGAACCAAATGAAAAGGACTAGAAACACGATTATTAACCCTAGACTTGAAAGACACGCGATGGTGCTTACTAAGTTGACAAACTTCACATGACAAGAATTTCAAATAACTAAGACTAGGAACTTAACGCTTCAAAACTTGAAGTGACGGGTGACTAAGGTGACAGTGCCACTGGAATGAAGACAGAGAAGACTGAAGAGCCACAGGAGAAGGTTCGAAATCAAAATAATATAAGCCACCGGCTTCATGCCCCGTACCAATCTTCTTCTTTGTCTTGAGATCCTAAAACACACAAGAAGTAGGATCAAATATAACAGAGCACTGGAAAGATTTAGTAAGCTTACTGATAGACATTAAGTTAAAGGGAAACTGCGGAACATGTAAAACAGACGAGAGAGACAATGAATCACTAAGTTGAGTTGTCCCCAAACCTGAAACCTGAATGGATGAACCATTAGCAAGAGTAACACTTTGAGAAGTAGGTACAGAATGAAAATCAGATAGAAGAGAAGAACATCCGGTCATATGATCAGATGCTCCAGTGTCTATGATCCAAGGACTGCGAGTGGAAGACAATAGACATGTGTGTGCAGTACCTGACTGGGCAAAGGTAGCCGTGGAAGATGAATTAGATGCTTGCTTATAAGACAAAAACTGAGTATACTCATCTCGTGGAACATGAACTGTATCTGATTCAGCTACATTGTGCGATCCAGAAGCGACATCATTCAGAGAAGAGGAAACTGGATTTGCATAATTAGATGGTTTCCCATGAAGGTCCCAACAAAAGTTCACAGTATAATTAGAAAGACCACAATGAGTACACTTTCTTAATTCCCTGCCACGGCCACGTCCTCCACGTGTATCACGACCACCACGTGCGGAGCGTACCCCACGACCTCCACGGTAAGTATTATATTCACCCTTTGAAACTACCAATGCTGAACGCTCACCACTCTGTCCAGTATTCAAATTTGAGGTATCACTTGCTAGTGTAGTACGCTGAAGTCAAGAAAACACCTCAGCAAGAGATGGAAGTGTTGGACTGCTCATAATTTGTGCACGAAAAGGCTCATATGCTAATGATAAACCAGTAAGAAAACGGACAACATTAAAGTCCGCACGCTGTTCTTGCATACTGCGAATATCAGCAGTAATGGGCTGATACATATTCAGCTCTTCACAGACTCCCATAACTTTGGAATAAAACTCTTCTATACTTTGAGTACCTTGTTCAAGATTGAAGTACTGTTTACATAGCTCATAAACACGGGTGATATTACCTGTCCCAGAATATAAATGCTGTAATCTATCCCATATATCCTTGGCTGTATCCAAATAAAGTAACGTTGAACTAATTTGGGATTCAATACTATTTATCATCACAGAGATGATCTGAGCATCTTCCTTTTCCCATGCATCAAAGGAAGTATCAGTTGCCTTGAGTTTCTCTTTAGTCAAATGAGAATCAAGACCTCTGCCTTTGAGAAAAATGGCAACAGATTTGGCCCACAATATATAATTCTTCCCATTGAGCTTAACTGAAGTCATGGGAGAATTAAGACTGTTCGTGGGTGAAAGCAAATCTGAACTTGAACTTGAGGCCATGTTGAATCCAGCAAAACAGAGAAGAAAAAGGAGAGAGAACAAAAATTCTATATTCTGGCCGAACCTGGAAGCAGGTCTGATCCTGATACGGGTCGGATCTTGGAACCGGACCGGATCTGGACTATCCCTGGTTTAGTAAACCGGGATTGGAATAGCACAATCGTGTAACCAAACACGGGTCTTCTTCTTCACTCCGTCACAAACTCCGGTAAACAATACGGCGGAGGCGATGGCAACCTAACCACGAGCAGCGGCCGAATCAACAAGCAGCGGCCGAATCAACTTCCGGCCGAAAACCAATCTCACCTCTGCAAATCGAGATGAAGAAGCTTCTGCCGGCGACGACGAAGAAGGCAGAGACGACGACCACCAAAGAGGAGCTGCCGGTGACGATGAAGAAGGCAGAAACGACAACGAACACACTTCAGATCTGATTACGGTGAACAAGAAATTGCCGACAGAGCCATCAAAACCACAATCACGATTCCGATCGTGATTCAAATCGTGATTCAGATCGTGATTCACCACCAACCCACCTACTAACTCTCACACGCATGATCATTGTGCTCTGATACCATGTTCAAAATCAAAATCAAAAGAGAGAGCAAAAATGTATTCTCTGTGTATATAAAAACAACTTACAAAACCTAATAAGCCTATGTAGGCTTATATATGTTACAAGGTTTACATAATAACACAAACAGCCTATTAACTAAACATAATTACATAACGACCCATTATTATATATATATAACTTCTAACAAGGTTCAATGGGGTTTAATTGGACGGAAAGATGGCATATATCTTCCATAGTGAATCTTGTGAGACACGATCACCTTATTATTATTATTTTATTTGAACTTACATTTTACCTCAAATACACATACAGCAGTTGCAAAAGCCCATTTGGGTTGAATCTAGAACATGATGTCAAGAAAGGATGGCAATTGTCGACAGAACTGATGAAGTCCAATCTGAAATTGGCGGGCTTTTGTTGGACACAAAGAAATGAAACTTGCAAGCACGTGGTTGGCTTTTAAGCTTTGGTTTGCTTGGATCGGTTTATTAAAGGAGTTGCAATCGGCTGGTCATGACAATAACCAAATTAGGCTCGTTAATGACAAAACTTGATTATTACTCAGTAGTCACTAGACTCACTACTAGTATACGAAAAAAAAATGTAGAGTCCTTAATAGGTTATGCTTGCTTAAGTTTGATGAACTTGTCTAAATGCATGAAATACATATATGGATTTCGGATTCACGTCTGACATCATATATGTATTTTGGATACACGTCTGACATCAAACATGCTCATTATCGACACATTCACACGATTGACACATGTAATAATCCACGTATCATAGATGCTTGTTATACCCAACCCATACCCAAAGACAAAATGACAAACAGCCTGTTTATTAGAACTCACAAGTGTTTAATGCTGTGCGATCCATTTAATTAGCATGTTCCATTTTTGCTTTGATTTTTTACCTGTCTATTAAACAGGTTGTCCCCAGGTGGACATTTTCTTTCTAAAGATTGAAGTCTCAACACAAACAAGAACACAATTCAAGACAACACTTAATAGAAGTATGCTATTTACTGCTATGTAAACCGTAGGTTCTTGGACAAAATTAAAATTTAGCAAGTTTTTCCAAAAGGGTAGCTATGATGAGTGTTTGCATTCTACTTTTGATATTTGCAGTTGGTCATAATGAACTATAAATTCCCTTTTCATTTGTATAAATCTAGCCTCCTTCAGAAACAAACTGTCCAACTCATACGTTTTCGAGCATGCTGGTTCTGGATACATAAATCACACTTTTCAATGCAGGCAAATTTCTTTAATTAATCATGGGTCGTTGTGTCTTCTTTTACATTGTCAACCCCTTTAGTTTTATTTTTGAACTACATTAAGTGCTACTTGTAAATGATTTGAAACGATTCTTACACATCTTCCACTAAATGGAGCCCTTTGAGATATATATGCTATATATATATATATATATTTTGGGATAAGTGTTATAGGTTAGAGAAGTAATTGGTTAAGTTTTTTATGGGTATTATTATTACTTGTCTTTAGCTTTCCAGATAGCCTACAAGCAAGGTAAGTAGGTCCATTATTGGCTGTAGGGGACTCGAACCCTTGTCAATTGAGAGGAATAGGGCCCCTCACCCAATCATACCAGTCTCTCTCTTTCCGACCGGTATGTAGAATCGTCGGAGTGAGCAGCTGAGCGAAGTGGGCTGTGTAATCATTATAGTGAATCCTGGCTATCCTTTATTAATTCTTTTTTCTTTTTCTTTTTTTTTTTTTTCCTAAACTGAAATGACGGTAGCTTATTAGTTTCTAGTAACTTCTGATCAAGTGGTTGTTTGATTTATGGCACCTAAACAACAACTGATAGCAATAAACTGTTTCGTGTGTCACATGTTTCGATATATCATGTTTCATATACTGATGTTTCATTTACAGTTTTTTACTTCTATCTAGTAGTCATTTATGCTTTAAAGATCTGCGTGGTTCATTTTCTCACCTAATTATGAGATCAATAATGAATCTGGGAGCAAGGAAAAATTATAGTGACTCGGTGTTCTTCTTTCCATTTATTTTCTTTGATGTCTTTCTACAGCTGGCGGAGATTGTTAACCAAGGGAAACTGGTTTCAGATGAGATTATATTAAGCTTATTGTCAAAGAGACTTGAGGCTGGAGAAGCTAAAGGTGAATCGGGATTTATTCTCGATGGTTTTCCCCGAACAATAAAACAAGCGGTGAGCACATTCACTTTGTTAAAGAGCACATTGTATTACTTCAAGTCATTTTTTATTTTCTTTCATATAAGATATATACAATGAGAGTGATCTGATTTTTTTTTTTTTTTGGGAAACACTCTCTCTCTCTCTCTCCCTTCTCTGTTTTTCTCTCCACCCTGGGTAGATACTCATGCATTATTTTTGTGGTCTGTACAATTTTGTCTCATGTATCTGTATTTCCAGGAAATTTTGGATGAAGTCACGGACATTGATTTGGTGCTTAATCTAAAAGTCCAAGAAAATGTACTGCTTGAGAAATGCCTTGGTCGAAGAATTTGCAGCGAGTGTGGGAAAAATTTTAATGTGGCCTCCATCAATGTCAAGGGTGAGAATGGGAGACCTGCAATTAGCATGGCTCCACTTCTTCCCCCACAACACTGCATGTCAAAGCTCATCACTAGGTCTGATGATACCGAAGCTGTAGTGAAAGAACGAATCCGTATATACAATGAAAAGGTATTTGTTTTATATTTTTTTCCCCACAACGTGTATCTTGAGTTGATGGGGGTGGTTATTCTTTTTTTTCTTTTTGTTTTGGTGGTGGGGAGCACATAGAAACGACAGTAATTTTTACACTGCTTTCACTGGGAAAATAAGCAACCATATAGCATTATTTCATTATTACCATCAAAATGCAAAAAACACCTAATATTTGTAAGAGTTGGACTACTTTTATCTTGAATAGTGTTTAGAATAATGTTTTGGTAGAAAAAAGAGATTTTAATTAATATAGGGTGCACAACCTCTTGGCTTTGCTCTTCCTAGGAGATTCTTACTATTTATCTCGATAGTATTTATAAGGAAATCTGTGGAGCACTTTCTCTCAATGTCTCATGCCCAAATTTAGTAAACATTTTGTCACCTCATTAACTTCACCTTATGCATGACCCACATTTGATCTGCATTGTTACTCTACATTCTCTAAAAAAATGTGCAGCAGCCGGAGCTTATGTTAGTTTAAATTATTATTAAATGCCTGTTTTATAGTATTTTTACATTGTAGGAGGTTAAGAGATAGGTTATCATTATAAAAAGGTGATACATTTTTCACAAAGCAGCTGAGACTAGCTGCTGAATATTATATCTTGGTATCCTCTAGTTTCTCATACGCTTTAGGTAAGACCAACTTTAAGATTACAAGATATGGTTTTATTATTATTTTGGTGATGCTGACCCCACCCCCTTCTTCTTTTTCCCTTCTGTTAGAGGACAAACGTGCATGTTGGCCATTCAGTTTGATCTTCTCTCCTATCTCATACCATGAAATGATTGTGTTTCTATTTTTTTGGGCAAGCAAAGTGTGTGCAGAGTCATAGCCTCACCCATTAAACAGTAGAAAACTTTTTTTCTTTTTTGTTTGTGTGTTTGTTTTGATTTATTTTGTGAATCCTTAATGAACAATGAAGTTAAGGGGGAAAAAGCCATATTGTTTCCTTGTACTTTGCTGCGTTGCGATAATTTTCTTTGCTTGAAAGTGATGCATTTGTTTCCTCTTGTATTTGCAGAGTCAGCCTGTGGAAGAATACTACCGGAGTAGAGGAAAATTGCTCGAGTTTGAACTTCCTGGAGGAATCCCAGAATCGTGGCCAAAGTTGCTGGAAGTTCTTAACCTCAATGACTACGAGGACAAGCAGGCTGCTGCAGCATAAATTCTTGCCAATCACTTCATAAGGCGTCATTCTTTGCATGCATAAGCATGCTTCTAGCAATTTTGCCTGATGACAGGAAAGCTTCTCTTTTTTCTTTCCTTTTTCTTTTTCCCTGGAGAAAAAAATAATATAAACCACGAATTACCTAGCCATGTTATCATGGTGGCTGCCTAGTCGGCTTTTTTTTCTTGGAATTTTATTTTTAATCAGTCATGTTGTACCTTAAAATGAGAGAGTGAGAGAGAGAGAGAGAGAGAGAGAGAGAGAGTTATGTTTAACTTATTGTTTGTGTAATAATTTCCAGTTGGAGGCTGGTAATATGGCACATACTTGCTGTAAGTTTTGATTGAAATTAGTTGGATTGCATATTTAAGTGGCATATGATGTTCTTACCTCTAGCTCATGAATGGGATTAGTTTTAGTTTTATGGTAGTCATTAGCAATACAGTGAATTAGTGAGTCACATTGATTACACAAGAGAAGATTATTTGCATCACCCAAATTAAAGTGAGTTTTGCTTACCATTTTGTTCTTTATTAACAAAATTACAGTGCGATAAATGAAAGTTTATTTGAAGCATAGTAGTTTTATACGTACCTCCTAGAAATGATACTAGTGCAACAAAAGTAGTAGCTAAAGGGAATGACTGAACTAATAATCCAATCCCCACTGAATGAAGGTGCTAGTTCACAAGTATCTTCATAATAATTTTTTTAAACTATTGACTGATTAATTTTTGGGGGCAAGAAAATATTTAATCCATATCTGCTAAGGAGAGAAACATTTTAAAAATATATATTAATGGTTTTTTTTTTTTTAAAGTTCAAGCATACCTTTAGAAAGAAAAGAAGAGATCATTTGCTAAATTTTATTTATATATATATATATATTTTCTTTTTGTCATTAGCAAGGAAACTCTCGCACACCTATTTATTTATATATATATATATATAAAGTTTAGTGTGTTTGTAGGTCTTTCATAAGGTAATACACAGTTTAAATCCTTCGTGTGTGTTTGTTGAGAAAGTCTACAATACCTCTGTGTACGATACCCATGGCGTCTATTCAACCGTTAGCAAGTAAGTTCTATCACCACATGTAATGGTGGAGTACCATACCCGCAAAATATGATAAACTTTTCCGTGTTTGACACCCTATATTTTGATGTAGGTAACAAACATGTCCACACCTTTTAATTAATAAAACTTAAAATTAGTCAACCTAGCACCATCATCTTAGTGCAATGAAAGAAGGTTTAATCGTTTAGGTCTAACTATATTTCATGTGATTTAAAGCCTTTATATGACTTTGATTCACGTGTTTGAATTTTAATGAGAAGATTGAACGACTAAGTGAGAATCCATTAATGTGCATTGAAAGAAGGGTATGTTCAATAGTAGTTTTTGTGAGTTGTCCTCCGTAAATAAATGAATATATTAAGCTGCGTTTAGTGGCGAGAGAAACGTTCATTATTTTCTATTGTCAACCTTTAAAAAGACAAAATGAAAACAAAAATCGTATTCCATAAAATGTTTTTATTCTTTTATAAAATGTTTTCAATTTTTGTGAAGAAAAGAGAAAACATCGAAATGATATTTCTTATGTTTTCAGTACTACAGGGGAGAAACGTTTTCACTAATGTTAGTGCACAGGCACTATTCATTTTAAATAAAATTCATATTATTTGTATTATATACTAAGTTGCATATTAAATGTTAATAAAAATATATATTTTTAATAGACAATAAATTAAATATTGTATATTATTTTTTATTTGTTAAAAATATATTTTAATATATAATATATTAAATAATAATGTAAATGATTTTTTGTGACAAAATAATTTTTGATATAAACTATAATGTTATTAAATTATTAAGCAGTAGATATTTTCTATTATTATATATCATATTTATATTATATTATATGTAAATATTAAATTATAATTAATTTACAATATTATAACACAATATATATTTTATTACATATAAGATATATTATTTAATATTTTTTATTCATAATAAATTATCATATGCTAAATTTATTATATATCACATAATAAATGTATACATCATGCATATACATGTATTTATATACACAATTGGTGGGAATATTTTTGTTTTGGTATATCTAATTTTGTACTTATGATTTATTGGGTATTTTTAAGATTTATAATTTTAAATTAGATTTATGGTTTTTTGATATTAATGAAAGCAAGTGTCGTGCCTGAGTGGTTGGGTTGTTCCCTGTGTTCGAGAGTTCGTGTTTAAGTCATCTACCCTTCCCTCTAATCACTGACTCCTAAAATTCTTGCCATGAAAAAAATAGAATAGAAATGAAAAAATAAAAAATAAAATAAAAAATTTAAAGAATATTATGTACATTTTGAAACAAATATTTTGTATACTAAACACAATTATTGTTTTATATATTCAAATTTGTGGCAACAATGAGTGTTAATAAACATCATTTCTGTTTTCTATTTTCATTCAAGAAAACAAAATCATGTTTCTATTTTGTTAAGACTGCAAAAACAGAAAACGAAAACGTTACTAAACGCACCCTTAATTTTTGTGATGCCATCAATATAATGATATCTGAAAATTGACCAAAAACTTTATAATTTAGTGGTATTTTTTCATTACTTAAAAACTATTTTGAGTTCGTAAATTTCTTACAAATAAAAAAAAAAAAAAATTGTTAATGGAAAAGATATGATATTTGAAAACTATATATATTTATATATATATATTAACCGAAAAACTTGAAATTTTAATATGATGTATCTTACCATTACAGGCATATCAACCAACTACTATTCTCCCAACTATGATTTTCGTCTGGAAGCTGCCATGAGACACCGTCCCACGTGTTCACATCTGCCCAACTAACATTCCATTGTCCAAAATTCAACAAACTCTAAAGACTCTCGCGACAACTATGCAGACATGCATCTTATTTTTTATCTTTTATATTTATATACTATATATATTTACAGTATATATATATTTATATATATATGTTTAACGGTACGATTTTTAATGGCACATTACTATTTCCGTTGAACTTCGTCTTACAATGATACAACGTTACAAACATTGCTCCAAAACTTACATCTATGTTTTTGTTGACCCAGGAACTATATAAATAAAAAAAGGTAAATTTCACATATCTTTATCAATATTTACCTAGACCCCTTTCTATTTTTTATAATTCCTTATCTACCCTGGAAATGTTAGTTTTGTCCACGACAAAGATTTCATGAACAAACAAATAAAATAACGATTACCAAATTGGATGATTATCTCTATAGAAGAGGCCAGTAAGATTATAAAACATGAAAAAATCTATTTAAGATATTGATAACTTCAAAGGACATAAAGTAGAATTTATCCACAAAAAAAATTACACGTTACCCACTTGTTATAAAAGTTATTGTCTATTTTCAAGAGAAATATGTTACTTAAAAAATATTTTTAAATAGGCAATAAAAATGCATATTTGTGCAAAACTGAATTCAAAATTATTATTTTTAAAATCGTTACACCACATTGTATGATATTGTCCGCTTTGAACTTAAGTCTGTACGGTTTTGTTCTTAAGTTTTACCCGAAAAGGCCTCATACCAAATGACACACTTACATATAAGCACTTCACCTTTCCTCTATCCAGATGATGTGAGACTGTGCACTCATAACTCGTAATATGGTAACTGACAATATTCCTTGCACCCGCTTACAAAATCATCACACGGAACCAAGATTTCACCTATATAATTGCAAAACTTTGAGTAGACACAATTATACATATATCTATTCGGTCCTGGACGGAAGCATGATGGGACACATCCACATTCCTCTTTGTACAAACAAAACAAAGAAAAAGTTCTTTTAGTACTGTTCAGACAATACCCCACTCGTCAAAATCCCCCAAAATATATACTCCCTCTCTCTTAAGACAAGAAAACAAGATTCTTAACATCTAAATTAGCTTCTTTTCTGCAACATTTCAGTGTGTATACAAACTCAACTCATATTTTGGCTGCAGAAGCTTCAAAACAACTCTCCCTCTCCCTCTCTCTCTCTCACACACACAGTTCCAAAAGGGCACCATTTAAAATCTCAGGAACCAACAACTTTTTTTGGTAAGAACAAACAACTCGGCGAAACCAGTGAACCATTTTACTCTCTCTGGGTTCTATTTAGCTCGACCAAAGCCCATGGATTGATGTAATATTAGCGTTGCGTGCTTAGATTGAACTGAAGTTGCTAAGTTTCTAAGGTCAAGTTCTCGTTTCTATGCTATGAATGTACATCTCTTATACTTTTAAAGTTTATTTTTGTTTTTTATTTTTAGATTTGTTTAATTTAAAATTCTGGGTTCTCCTATGCAGGCAGTGTTGAATGTTATAAGATGGCCAGTAAATGAGATTTAAAGTTGAATGTAATGCAGGTAGAGTTAAATGTTTTCACTCTTCTTGTGAATGCTTATATATATAAGTGAATTTTTTGACTTGATCTATGATTTTTATGTTTGAGCTTTACTTGTTAGGGATTGTTTAATCTTTATCAAACATACCCTTTTTTAATTTTTAATTTTTTTTATATATATGTTTCTCCTTTTCTTTTGAGTAATTAGTTTATTGACATTGATTATAAGGAATTAGTAATGTTAAATAAGAAGCTTGGATATAGAACATGTGGTTGTTGCTACAAAAATTATAATTTCTGCTGTTTTTCTCACTAGTCAGTGTATTGGATGGAGATTTGTCCTATGCAGAAAGATTTGCTCTACCTGTTGTGTTCAACTTCTCACAACACAACCGTTCAAATGCTCAACAATCTCTGTCCATTATGCACGGAATCTTTTATTTTATTTTATTTTACGGAGTATTATTTTTCAATTTCATGTGTAGCTGCCATCCTTCTATGTTTTGTAATGCACTACATATGTTATACTTGCAACAAATACCTGAGAACAATGAAATTTTCCTAGGACAATTTTTTTTGCTGAATACCCCAAAATAGCCCAAAGAGTTGTTTCTATTGATTATAATAAATTCATGAAAAATAAATTCACTAATAGATTTATAATTGGTGTTTAATGAAGGGTATATTATTGTGACAGTATGCATCATCTACTGAAGATATAAAATGACATGAATTAGGTGTATATGAATGAGGTTTGCAAAACCTGCCTGCAATGGGGTAACAACCTACCGGGGAATCAAACTTTATTCATTTAGTATGGTAGATACTAGATTGAGTTAAGTTCTAGATATGTAGCTGTTAATTTTACATAGCATGGTGAATCACCCTCGGGATTGAGTTGAGGAGGAGATACCGAGTTGGATTGCCATAGATTACATTGCCATTCCTC